ATCCACAAAGGGCACTGTCCAAAACGGCAACCACACACCACCACATGTGGCTATTTGAATTTAAACTTAATTAAATTTAAAAATTGAATTCCTCAATCACACTAGCCCTATTTGAGGTGTACAACAGTCACATGTGACTAACAGCTACCACACTGGACAAGGCAGATACAGGACATTTCCATCATCACAGAAAGTTCTATTGTGCAGTGCAAATGGTAAGTTTTCAGTAAATCACAAATGTTATCACCATGCTACACTAACTTCTCTTGCCACTTTTCTAGGAAAGAAAAATTCTGTCCTCTAGATTTTTAACTAACAACATAAATCATTCAGGCAAAAGTCCAAAACAGATTAATGATGTAAACTATTTTAAGTGCTCCCAACACAGGTTTTTTGCCCTTATAACTCACATTAACTCCTGAGAAAAAAAGAACGGCAGCAGCAACAGTCACCAACCTGGCAACACTTGACTGCAAAGCATCAGGGTATACCCAACTTGTCCAAGTGGACTAAAATCTAAAAAGGTGTGAATTTCATTCCACTCCAGCAACTCATTTCTCCTACCCTTAACCTAGATCCTAAAAAAGTGGTATGGAGATCTGGTACTGTTCTCAAACTATTTAGATAAACAAATAGCATCATGAGGAGGCAAAGTCACAATTTTCTAATGACTTAATTTTCCAAATCATTAAAATCATGTATAATTACAACAAAAATCTCACACACACAAAAAAAACCCCACTCCTGATAAACACACACAACTCTTGTTTAAAGTAAACTCCTATATGTTACATTAAATTCATGGCCTGCCCTTTCTCTAGACAAATCACACACAAGACACATTTTGTAGACATTCTGACCAATTTATAACAATTCTTCAGTCAGAAAAGAGTTAAGTAACATGAAAAAAGGGCCCAATATGCAACAAAATTGAATTTTATTATTTTTTAAGATTTTATTTATTTGACAGAGCACAAGTAGGGGGAGTAGCAGGCAGAGAGAAAGGGAGACAAAGGCTCCCTGCTAAGCAAGGAGCCTGAGGTAGGGCTTGATCCCAGGACACTGGGATCATGACCTGAGCCAAAGGCAGGCACTTAACTGACTGAGCCACCCAGGCGCCCTCAAAACTGAATTTTAAATATCAAAACTAAACTAGAACAAGCCAGGAAAATCCACTACAGAAACTTTCTGGGTCTCCTTTGAAAAATAAAGGCAAAAACATATTTCATTACTTTGAAATTGAGGTTTCAAATATTTTAAAAATACAAAACGAACTTCATTTCCTAAAGGAATTTACTACAAACAAGTATGGTACAACTAACAAAGTAGCAGCTCAAAAAGTGAATACTACTGGAATGATTTAACAGTTACCAACCCAGCAACACTTGGTTTACAGGCATTAAGTATGCCCAACTTTTCAGAATTGGCGGTCTTAAAATCAAAAGGGCTAACATACCATAAAAACTGAGGAATCAGAAGGAATTTTGAAAAAGCAAATACTAACTATACTTTTGGTTCGCAAAGTTTTCTTCATTCCTAACGTAACAGAACAAAAAGAACACTCTATCCCCTTCTCTTTAGTAATTTTCACGTTTCTTCTGCATATACTGTATCATAATAAATCCTTTAGCACTTCGATTTTAGCAATGAACTTAAAAGTTCTGCCCCACCCCACTATCACGAGAAAAAAAAAAATGTGCAAAATGATTAATGAAGAAATGCTATTCTATGAATGGTTAAACTGTGGTACACCTGTATCACAGAATTCTACCCAACAATAAAAAGGAACAAACTAGTATTAATACACCCAACAACTGGGATGTGTCCCAAGGAAATTGGGACAAACAAGGCCAATCCGGGGTGCCTGGGTGGCTCAGTGGGTTAAGCCTCTGCCTTCCGCTCAGGTCGTGATCCCAGGGTCCTGGGATTGAGCCCCACATCGGGCTCTTTGCTCAGCAGGGAGCCTGCTCCCCCCTCTCTCTGCCTGCCTCTCTGCCTACTTGTGATCTCTGTCAAATAAATAAATAAAATCTTTAAAAAAAAAAAAAGGCCAATCCTAAAAAGTTATATGCTGTATGATTCTTTTCAGTAAACATTCATGAAATGACAAAATCATAGAAATAGGAAACAGAACAGTTAGTGACTGCCAGAGTTTGGGGGTAAAGGGGATAGAAAGCAGGTAGGAGGGTGTGGTTCTAAAAGGGCAACAGAGGGATCCTTGTGCTTATGGAACCATTCTGTATACCGACTGTAGTGGAGGTTATGTAATTACAATTGCGATAACACTGCATAGAACTAAATACACACACAAATTAGTACAAATAAACTCAAGAAATCTGAATAAGATTGATAGAGTATATCAATGTTATGATATTGAACTACAGTTTTATAAGGCGTTAGCACTGGGAAACTATGTAAAGGGTACAAGGGATCTCTGTATTATTCCTTAAAACTACATGTGAATCTAGTTATCTCAAAATAAAAAGTCTGATTTTTTTTTGAAAAACTGCTACCCTAACAATTGGGATAATTTGAATATGAACTGGATATTCCACAGTACCAGGGAATGACTGTTAACAATATTACGGATAGACAGGAAAATACCCTTATTGCTGGAGCATTTATGGATTAAATATTATGCCTGCTATTTACTCTTATGTGTATTGGAAGAGCAAGAAGCAAATCTGGCAAAACGTTACATACTAAATTAAGGTAAAGAATTCATGAGTGCTCCTTGTACTCTTCTCTCAACTTTTCTGCTTGAATTTTTAAAAAGAAAAAGTTAAGGAGTAAGATTTAAGACACATTTTTACCCTGAAAGTATGTTACAGTCGAACTGACACACCAGTTGGTCTTTTAAAAGATTTAAAAGTAGGAATGCCTGAGTGGCTCAGTGGGTTGGGCTCCTGCCTTCAGCTCAGGTCCTGGGATCTAGGCCCGCTCAGCGGTAACCTGCTTCTCCCTCTACCTTTGTCTCCCACTCCCCACTTCTTAGGCATGCTCACGCTCTCTCCCTCAGTTAATCTTTAAAAATAAATAAATAAATAAATGAATAAAGGATTGAAAAACAAATGAATTGTTCTATTAAAACTATGTGAGAGTTCCATCTACCCTGGTTATTCCTAAAACCAAAAATGGCAATAAGAATTTCAAAGGAAAAATTACTTGGTATTGGATGTGACTTTCTGGTAAGTTTTTCAACATAAATTGACTAAATCTGTAAAGCATATGGATATTTTTGTACAATCAAAGTTAGTTCAACATGGATTACTCCTTTCTATTTCTAGAAGACTGGATCCCCAAAATTGGTCTACTTTTCAAATAATTGAAGCAAATTAAAATTGCAAGGGAAAACAGCTAACACTTTCATACATACACTCCAAGTTTTTTAAAAGTTTTAAGTTTGTCAGCTAATTCTTTCATAAAGAAATCTTCGCATGAAGGGGCAACCCACACACTAAATGCCAAACTAAAAATGTGCCATGATGTATTAATCACGGCGCCAAGGCCACAAGATATATTTTACAATGTCAACAGTCCCTCCAAACATCACTGTATTTTATAGTATTAAAAATGCAAACCGCACACATCTGAAATGTAAGAAGTAAGTGTGAGCTCGCGTCAATAAAATCAATCTCAAAAGTTCTTAAGTTGCCTTTGCTGCTAAATTTTTGCATCAGTGTTAATACACTTCAGTCTCAGAAAATTCGCGTCTAGAACATCTAAACCAGAAACTCCATAAACTTTTCACTTCCAACCGGACCGCCCCCTCGCAGTGGGCCCCACCTCCCGAGTAGGGTATGGGGTGGGGCTGTTTCCCGCTCGGAAACTAAGAAATAAATGTCCCTTCTCCATACAGAAACGAGGAGAAAAGGCCGATAATCTGCAGACTCAAGTATGAAACTAACTACAAGGAGGCAGTCGTTTAGAAAGCTTCTTTTCCTCTACTAAATCCCTTCCTTCCCTCCTTCCAGGTCATTCAGTGACCCGGGGCCCGGGCGGGGACAGGTGAATATCAAGAGAGGAAGAGGGAGGGACGGACCATGGGGGGAGAGCCGCGCTTGGGCAATGAATGAGCTGTGCCGCATCCGCACCACCTGTTCCTTACAAGGGTGCCACCGCGACCTACCGGCAGTGTTCCTGCACCACCCCGGTCGCTACTCCTGCCCGTGTTGCCCGCTTCCCGGCTAAAGGCCGGGCCTGTCCTCCCTTCATTCGGGACGGATGAAAACCCGCAGTCTAGGAGCTAGGAAAACGGGGCCTACTCCGGAACCACGGCCTCCGAAGCGTGGAGACAGGAGGATGAAGCCCGTGGCCCGGGGCGCGCGGGGCGAAGTGGGAATCACAGGGAAGGGACGAGGAGATGCATACTGCTTGACTAGGAGTACGAAGGCGGGTTTCCTGGCGGAGGTGGCCCGGTGCCCGCCGGGCCGAGGTTAGGGGTGACAGGCCCGTGTACCGGCTAAATCCTCCCCACTTTTTGCCCAGAGTCTCACACTTACCAAGATCCGCTTGAAAAGAGCGTTCTCCTTGGGCGGGAGGCTCACGGCCGGCATCGTTCCGGCTCCTCCCGCTGCTCCCGCCACCGCCCGGCTCGGTCAGTCTGTTTGTCCGACCGCCGCCGCCGCCGCCGTCGTCGTCCCCTGGCCGCTTCAGCCTTGATTGCCCCGATCCACCGCCACCACCAGGCCTCGAGTGTCACCGCGTCACCCAACCCCGACACCCCCCTTCCCCTCGTTGTCTTTTTTCCTTTCTCACTTAACGCTGCCGCCGTCTCCCCCCCCCCCCACGGGTCTCCGTCGGCGGTTCACGTGGTAACTGAACAGACCGACAGAGGCAGCCAAAATGGCGGACGCGGAGGGCTTTCCCACCCGGGTCACACCTCCTAGCACGCAGGCGCGATGACCTCCTTTCCCCACCTCCTCTGTCCTAGAGCTTGCTGGGAAACCTGGAGGCCAGCAGGTGGGCGGAGGCCGAGAGGGTCGCGGCAGGCCCCGCCCATCCCTCAGTCGCGGAGAGTCTTGCAGGCTCTGGGAGAAGAGCTGGGGTGAGTCCCTAACTGCTGTTCCAGCAGCCTCCCACTCGCAAATAGCTTTTCTGCTGTTTGATGCCGAAGCGGCCTTTCATTCATTGGGTAGATTCTCGTAGCCTGTATGATCATACTTTGAGTCTGAAGTGCTAAAGTGAAGGTGTTCAAGAAGTTCTGCGTTTGATCGTGGATCAAGTACCTAATTAAAAAGCAGAGGCGAAAGGGAAATGAAGGCTTCACCCCAGGAGGGACTTGAAAACCTGTACGAAAAAGAGAGGGTTCATGGAGTTTGAAAACCGTGAAAGAGTTTGACCAATTAAATGGGCTGGCTGGCTGGAGGATCGGTGATTTAGTTTATTACTTAAGGTGAACGGGGAAAGAGCCGTATCCTAAGTGCCATATTTGCACTGCCAAAGAAGCATCTGAAAGTTAAATGTGTTTTATTTCAGTGTTGAGTCCATACAATGAAGGGTTCACGACTGTTTAAGCCATGTTGGAGTAGAGTTCAGGGACATTGACTCCCCCGGAGATGGCTAAAGTGCTTAATGTTGCGAGTGTTGAACTCTCCATCACCAGAAATCCTCAAATCTTGAACAACAGAGTATCAGGGAAGGATACTAGAGAACCGCTGCAGTAGACAAGATGAAACTAGATACCGAAGTGGACCTTTTCCACATATGAGTTTATGTATAAGTAATTTCATTAACAACTGACAGTAAAGGGGCGCCTGGCTGGCTCAGTCGGTAGGGCATATGACTCTTGATATCAGGGTGGTGAATTTAAGCCCCAAGTTGGGCATGGAGCCTACTTAAAAAAAAAAAAAAAATTTTATTTTTTGGTAATTGACAGTACAACTATTTTAAAGCTGGCATTCCATTGATGATCTACAATTTTTCCCTCATATGAGCCATTTTTGCACCTGATTATTTTTTATGATCTCTCTCCAGATGCTGGATTCTGTCTGTAGCATTCTCTGAATCAGGAATCATTGCATTATATGTGCAATAACTTTGCTCTTTTTTTTTTTAAAGATTTTATTTATTTGACAGAGAGAGATCATAAGTGGGCAGAGAGGCAAGCAGAGAGAGAGAGAGAGGAGGAAGCAGGCTCCCTGCAGAGCAGAGAGCCCGATGTGGGACTCGATCCCAGGACCCTGAGATCATGACCTGAGCTGAAGGCAGGGGCTTAACCCACTGAGCCACCCAGGTGCCCCCAACTTTGCTCTTTTTAAATGTATTTACCCAGATAGTTTACTGTTTCTTCTTGCTCTTCTTTAACCCTTCCTAGAAGGTGTAAGGTGAGGGAGATGTTTCCCATTGTAAAAATCTGGGACTAATCCTCGGGTTTTCTAGCTGCTATCTCAAATGCCTGCTCTCTCTTCCTTTGCCTGGATCATAAGTAAGGTTTTATGAATCAAATCCTGCAATTTGTTCGAATTCTGTTATCTTTGTTCAAAAGTTTCACTAAAAAAAGTTGTATCCACAGGAAACCATGTTTGAGTTTTGGAATATGGCCAGATTTTAACCTTAACTTTTTTTTTTTTTTTTTTTAAGTAAAATTAAGAGCAAACATAGAATTCATAAAAACAGTTGTCACTCAATGATAATCTTTGAACTTCACTGCCCCCAAGAGGTCTTTCTTTCAACCGGCTTTCAACCAGCACAGTTATTAAGAAGTAGAAAAGTTGGGGCGCCTGGGTGGCTCAGTGGGTTAAAGCCTCTGCCTTCGGCTCAGGTCATGATCCCAGGGTCCTGGGATCGAGATTCAGCCCCGCATGGGGCTCTCTGCTCAGTGGGGAGCCTGCTTCTCCCTCTCTCTCTGCCTGCCTCTCTGCCCCCTTGTGATCTCTGTCAAATAAATAAATATTAAAAAAAAAAGAAATAGAAAAGTTATCTAACTTACAATGATAATTTTAGCTTCACTACTAACTTTGGTTTCCAGGTATCTGGCTTCATATCCAAAAGTTCCTACAGAAATATTATTTGCTAAGGTTTTCTAAATTTCTAAATTTCTCCTTTGAATAATATACTATTTTCCCCTTGAGGGAAGAAAATTTCTGATGTTTGAAGCAAACAGTGGTCCCCACCAAAGGCTGAGTACCTGAATAGATAAGCCACCAATATAGTTGGGCAAATGTTATCTTCTTTTTGGCTGATAACAAATAAATTTTTAAGACTCAATGAATACTGGAGCGCCTGGGTGGCTCCAGGGGTTAAGGCCTCTGCCTTCGGCACAGGTCATGATCCCAGGGTCCTGGGATCGAGCCCTGCACTGGGCTCTCTGCTCATTAGGGAGCCTACTTCCCTTCCTGTCTCTGCCTGCCTCTCTGCCTACTTGTGATCTCTATCTATCAAATAAATAAATAAAATCTTAAAAAAAAAAAAAAAGACTCAGTGACTACTACTTTGCATCATCATTTATCTGAATCATTTCCTAGTTAAAATGCATGTATAGATAACAGGTGGACCATACAGTCCATGCCTTGATAGCCTAAACTCAAAAATAAAATATCTGCTCTTGTAGATCACCACTGTTTGACAAACAGATCCTATTTAACCCATATGCTGTGAATGACAGCTATGCAGGAAGTTAACATATCCAGGGCTGGATGATGACAGACCATGAGGATGATGTTGATGATGAGGATGATGTTTCATTCATTCATCTTACCCTAAATATTTGCATATCACTATTGCCAAAATGTCTTTTCACCAAAAAAGTAACCATAAATAAATATATAAATAAACAACCTCAGAACTTTAATTCTACAAGAGGGATATGTAGAGTAAAATTCTCCATGTCCATATATGTAAGATGTTCTCTATTGACACTTTTATGCCTTAATCATTAAGTATTTAAATTTTATAGAAATACAACATTAAAGAAGTCTATATATTTGTCACCCAGATTTAACAAATGTTAACATTTTGTTATTGCTTCTGATTGTTCTTTAAATAAAAATTTACAGATATCGGGGCACCTGGGTGGCTCAGTGGGTTAAAGCCTCTGCCTTCGGCTCAGGTTGTGATGCCAGGGTCCTGGGATCGAGCCCCAAATCAGACTCTCTGCTCAGCAAGGAGCCTGCTTCCCACTCTGTCTCTGCCTGCCTCTCTGCCTACCGTGATCTCTGTCTGTCAAATAAATAAATAAAATCTTTAAAAAAAAATGATAGATACTTGGGTCGCCTGGGTGGCTCAATCAGTCAAGCGTTTCCCTTCAGCTTGGGTCATGATCTCAGGGTCCTGGAATCGAGCTCCACATGATTGCTGTGTTGGGCTCCCAGCTTAGTGGGGAATCTGCTTCTCCCTCTCCTTCTGCTACTCCTCACTGCTCATTCTCTCTCTCTCTCTCTCAAATAAATAAATAAAATCTTTTTAAAATTTTTTGCAACTATATCAGGAACTGCATCCCTCTCCAGATCCTCCCAAATTTGATGTATGATATTTTTATGCATCATAAATCAATAAACATATATGTAGTGATCTTATATTTTATGTTTTCAACTTTTGCTCTTCTTAACCCTCCCTAGGAATGAGAAGTGTGAGTTGAGTAAGATGTTGCCTAGAGGAAAAATCTGGGACTAGAACTGTGGTTTTCTGGCTGCTAACTCAAATCTTCTCTCCTTTTGCCTGGGTCATAAAGAAATTTTTAGCATTCAAATTCTGGAAATGCTTAAATGAATGTCATGTAGCAACTTCTACCAAAATACCATAGCTACTAGCTCCTGGCTGGAATTGCTTCATCAGGATTCCTCTCAAGATGGAGTTTCACCTACAGCTGCCTACTCTAAGTGTAGGGTTCCATCAGCTCTAACATGCTGAGAGGAATGTGCTTATATTTCATCACTTTCCCAAAATATACACTAGTAAGAGGATACAGGGACCAAAAGAAGAAAACAGCCTTTTTCCCACAGCAGTACCGAAATTAGTAATTTGCTTACTGGTTCTGTATGCTCTGACTAAATATGGCTTCTGTTTCAACTTGTTGGATACTAGCAAAAGCTGTGTTAGGACAAGCTTCCAAGGGATGACATAGAAAGAATATTCAACTGTCAGGTTGCTGAGTGGACAAGAAGTTGAGAACCAACAACTGATTCAGCATATTAGTTGGGTGGTTTGCTTACTTGAGCATAAGTCCAGAAGGCTCAAACTAGGTTACAAACTATAATGTGATTCACAGTTTAGCAATCCAGTTAGTCATCAGTTGCGTGTAAAAAAGAACCAGAAAACAGTACAGTTACTTTACTCTTTGGTCAATAATTTTTGGTTAAATTTTTTCCCCAGTGATAATGCTAAGGAAAATATGGGGTGCACACTTGGCTAGCTTAGTTAGTACAGCATGCCACCCTTGATCATGGAGTGGTGAGTTCAAGACCTATGTTGTGCATAGAGCTTACTTAAAAAAATTTTTTTAAAGAAAAAATATAGAGTGGGGAAAAACGATTTACTAACATTCATTGTGCTTTTAAAATTATCCTAAATGGCCTTAAGTTTAAAGGATTAAAATATTAAAATTCTTTATTTCTTTTACTTAAATACATATTTTTACATGGTCTTTAGACATCAGATTGAATTGACAAGTGAATGTACAAATCCAGTTCAATTGTCAGTACAATGTCTTTGGTAGACAAAAACAAGTTGTTTGCAACTACCAGACACTTTCTAAGCTTCCCAAGGACCATAGAGGTTAGGTTTTACATTACAGCTATAAAACTGAGGTGTAGAGAGATTAAGTACTTTGCCTAAAAATCAAAAGCAAAAATATGGTCTACAGGAATAGCTTTTTCAACTTGACTCTTTGAATCCTATTCTGCAGCTCGTGGCCTCAGGGGATTGTCCAAGTCTGTTAGGTGGGCTAACAAGAATCACTAGATCTGGGGTCAGAAGACCTCAGTCTGAATCCCACCTCTCCCAGCTGTGGGATCCTGAGCCTGAGCCGGTCAGGGACTTCCAAAACACGAAGATTCTCCCTTCCTCACAGCATTGTGAAGCTTTACTGTGATAGTGCATGTGAACAGACTTGGGGAACTGTGGGAAGTCTCTTCAAATATATGTTATGTCACCTTGGATGAGCAAGTTGCCTTATTTGAGCTTTAGCTGTAAACTGAGGATAATAAGGTATATCAAACGGTCGTTTGAAAATGAAATGAGATGATACATGTAAATCATAGGATGCATAATGTACAGTGTCTGAAACACAGAATTCAAAGTGCTGGCGGTTACTCAACACACCTCATTCATTTTCAGTTTTCTGGCTCATGTAGCAAGATTTTAGTAAATCTTTCGAGTATCCCTGGGGTAGGTGCCTGAAATTCTCATGGGACAGCGAAGTGAATAAACTAACTACTCCTTTCCCCCTTTGATCATTTCCTCCCAAACCCCATTTTACAGACATAAGGCTGAGACCAAGAGAGCCAGAGTACCAGGCAATAACCAGGATTCTCAAGTTAACATCTCTACTTAGCGCGGCTGCGCAGCTGGCGAATCCCGCGCTTCGTTCCGCAAGGGGGCGCTCGGCTGGACACCGACTCCAGGGGAGACGGGGTTGCGGAAAGGCGGAGCCGTGTCTAGCAAGATGGCGCTCCCCGCGTTGTTGCGCCAGTTCTCCAAGCTGCTGGCTCCAGCTAGGCTCCCAAGCAGCTGTGAGTGTCCCTCTTCTTTCAGGCCGACCCGACCTTCCCGTCTCTCACTCTCAGGGTGAATCCAGCCCGCGGGGTAGCAGGCGTCTGGGACCGGGCCCGTCATGCAGTGTGACCTTCGCCGGCCTACGTCCTAAATCCCAGCTCCGACTCTAGGTTCCCCATCACGCGCCGCCGACCCTCTTAGTGCCGACAACTCTTAGTCTCTACGATTGGACTCTGGGTCCTCCCCACCACCCTAACCCGCTGCAGGTTGGGTCCCGCAGACCCTCTCGGTGCCGCTTCCCGCCAACTCGGGAGTCATCTGAGTCTCTGCAAAAGCCAGTTCGCCAGGCTTTGAGGGCGTCCTGGAGGACAGGGGCGACTCGGTCTGGCTGTGCCGGTGGCTCAGGGCGAGTTAACTTGACTCTCTGAACCTGTTTCGGGAGCTGTTTGGCGGGGGGGTGGGGGGGGGAGAATTAAATGCAATAATATACACGTAAGTGTTAGGTTTTTCACTGCAAGGCGATACGTTATCGATTTACAGACACTGTCCCCTTTCAGCTTCAGCGCGATCAAAGTTCTACGTTCGGGATCCGCCACATGACAAACCTGACTGGCTGAAAGTTGGACTGACCTTGGGCACCTCCGTCTTCTTGTGGATCTATGTGAGTTTTTACTCCCTTGATGTCGTGCGACCCCAACACACTGGGGAGCATAAATGTCAGTGTGAGATTGTTGCTGAGCAAATCTCCCATTCAATTGGATATTTATGTAATTGCTAATTACATAAGGGAAATCCCAAAGACTAAAAAGAAATATTCAAGATTTCAGCAGCATCGAGAAAATATGATGAAGCAGCGGAAACTTAGGTCATTCATGGTTAATGAGAATGGTTTTGTGATGGAGGGCAACTTTACTATTGATTGTCCTTTACTTGGTAATGAGGTTGGAGACTGGTTGGGTTTTATGAAGACACTTTTTTTTTCAGATGACATAGGAACAGATCATCACTGGACAAGCTATACAAATTAAGTCCCACTAGACTTCCAAAACATAAGATTTTAATCAGTGTTTGGGTAAATACATTGTTGGAAATTGTACTTAGTGTGTAGCAGCCTTTTTTTTTTTTTTTTTTGTCTTTAGAGTATGCCAAATGCTTTACATGTAGAAACTCATTTAATCTTTTCAAAAACACTGTGTAGTAGGTACTATTATTGTTGACTTTTTATAGATAAAGAAAACGCTTGGAGAAATTAGTTTGCTAAACCCAGTTCTCCCTGACTTAGAATGACACTATAGACCATTGTGAAATACTGCTTCTCTGTAGATAAATTTTCTTGAAGTTGACTCAAAGTCTGTGTGCTCGATTAGTATTTAAATTTTTTTGTTTTGTATCTAATGTGTTAAGGGTTTTCTCCACTGCCTCCCACCTCCAGTTCTTATATCTCTTATTTTGGATTTTCTCATTGAAATGACTTGTTGATGGGGCACCTGGGTGACTTAGTCGTTAAGCATCTGCCTTTGTCTCCTGTCATAGCAGGGTCCTGGGATCTAGCCCCACATTGGGCTCCCTGTACAGCGGGGAGCCTGCTTCTCCCTCTCCCTCGGTCTGCTGCTCCCCCTGCTTGTGCTCTGTCAAATACATAAAATAAAATCTCAAAAAAAAAAAGTCGATAAGGAGTAAGAGATGTTGATAAGGAGTAAGAGATGTTAAAAGTCATTTACAACATGACAACAGCAGTAATCCTTTTTGAAATAATATTTGTCATGATGAAGTTTTAATACAAAATTTTCCTAGAAAAAACTTGATTGCTGTTGAGAACTCTGAAATTGGATCTTTGATTGCAGCAAATGTCACCCCATCTCAACCATTGTTTTGGTTGCATATTCTGTCAGACAGTTGTTCTAAGAAAGTATCTATCTCCTATGACATCTAATTAATACACATATAGTTGGGGGATGGAGTTGGTCACTCACAGTATCAAACTTCCAAGGTTAGAAGTATAACACTTCCAGCCATCAGTCTAGACCTCATTTAATAATTCAGTTCTGGTTGGCAGTGCTGATTTAGCTCCTCTATGGTAAGTTATTCTATTACATTAATTACCCACTGAATGAAATAATTTATTTGGCAGAACACGAATTTAAACTCGTAAGGGGGGTGGGGCACCTGGGTGGCTCAGTTGTTAAGCATCTGCCTTAGGCACAGGTCATGATCCCAGGGTCCTGAGATCCAGCCTACATTGGGCTCCCTGCTTGGCGGGAAGCCTGCTTCTCCCTCTCCCATTCCCCCTTCGCCCTGCTTATGTTCCCTCTGTCTCTCCCTGTATCAAATAAATAAACAAAATCTTATAAGTAAATACATAAACATATACATAAATAAACTTCTAAGGGTTGCCTTCTCAAATTTAGTATGTTAGACTGAAATTAACTAGTACGGGGATGCCTGGGTGCCCCAGTCGGTTAAGCGCCTGCCTTTAGCTCAGGTCATGATCCCAGGGTCCTGGGATGGAGTCCCACATTGGGCTCCTTGCTCAGCGGGGAGCCTGCCTTTCCCTCTGCCTGCTGTTCCCTCTGCTTGTGCTTTCTCTCTCTGACAAATCGATAAATAAAATCTTTAAAAAAAAAAAAAAAAAAAGATGGGGCACCTGGGTGGCTCAGTGAGTTAAAGCCTCTGCCTTCTGCTCAGGTCATGATCTCAGGGTCCTGGGATAGAGCCCCACATTGGGCTCTCTGCTCAGCGGGGAGCCTGCTTCCTCCTCCTCTCTCTCTGCCTGCCTCTCTGCCTGCTTGTGATCGCTGCCTGTCAAATAAATAAATAAAATTAAAAAAAAAAAAAAGAAATGAACTAGTATATGCCATTCATAGTTTTTGGACTTGCATCTCTTAGCCTTTTCTTTTTAACTAGAATAGCTGTAATTCTTTTTTTTGCTTTTCCAAAATTGTTTAGAAAAGCAAATCCAGGGCACCTGGGTGCTTCAGTCGGTTAAGCATCTGCCTTCAGCTCAGATCATGATTCCAGGGTTCTGGGATGGAGTCCATATGGGGTTCCTTGCTCAGCAGGGAGCCTGCTTCTCCCTCAGCCTGCTGCTCCCCCTACTTGTGTCCCCTTTCTCTCTGTCTCTGACAAACGAATAAATAAAATCTTAAAAAAAAAAAAGCTCTTTATTTAAAAAAAAAAAGGGAAAGAGGGGCACCTGGGTGGCTCAGTCAGTTAAGCATCTGCCTTCAGCTCAAGTCATGATATCAGGGTCTTGGGATTGAGCCCCACATTGGGCTCCTTGCTCAGCAGGGTGTGGTTTCCTCCCTCTGCCTCTTGCTCCATCTGCTTATGCTTGCTAACTCTGTCTCTGACAATTAAAGTCTTTAAAAAAAAAAAAAAAAAGTAAATCCAGATCCCAGTGGCTGAGTGCCCTCCCTCACCCCTAGAATAGTTGTAGTTCCTTTAATCTATGCTTATTCCTCTTATATACCTCTTCTATACCAAATATAAGTATCACTGGTTAGCCTCTTTAAGTTGCCAGGAAGATTATATTTCTAATTTTAATTGTTACCTACTTCTAGCTCATCAAACAACATAATGAAGATGTTTTAGAGTATAAAAGAAGAAATGGGTTGGAATAAACTATTGAAATACTAATATGGTAAGTATGCAATTTTATAGGGTTAATTAATTATGCAAATTAATTTGATCTCTTTTTAAATAATGTATTTTTGTTTTTTTATTGGGTTTATACTTTTCTTTAAGTTTATTTTTTTCATAATCTCTACACCCAACGTCAGGCTCAAACCAAAAACCAGTGATCACATTGCATGCTCTTCCAGATGAGCCAGCCAGGCGCCCCTATTGAGTTTATACTTTTTAGCACTGATAATCCTGTCTCTGACAAATTTATGAATTTTAATACCTTAGCTGAAGCATCTCTCAGTATAATCATTTTTTAAGCATCATTTTTAATCATTATGCTTTGAGTTTGTTCAAAGAAAGTTGTATTTAAGAATGAAACCAAAATCGGGATGCCTGAGTGGCGCAGTTGGTTAAGCATCTGCCTTCAGCTCAGGTCATGATCCCAAGGTCATGGGATCGAGTCCAACATCAGGTTCCTTGTTGAATATGAAGCCTGCTTCTTCCTCTGCCTGTTGTTCTCCCTCCTTGTGCACGTGAGCGCACACTATTCTTCTCCCCTCTCTCTCTCTCCTTCTGAGAAATAAATAAAATCTTTAAAAGGGGGGGGGTGCCTGGGTGGCTCAGTTGATGAAGCGACTGCCTTTGGCTCAGGTCATGATCCCAGAGTTCCGGGATTGAGTCCTGCATTGGGCTCGCAGCTCCATGGGGAGTCTGCTTCTCCCTAGGACCTTCTCCCCTTTCATGCTCTCTCTCTCACTGTCTCTCTCTCAAATAAAAAATAAAATCTTAAAAAAAAAAGAATAAAACCAGAATCATACCATTTTTGTAAATCTAATGGTACTCTACACAGTGACTTCATAACACTAAAGACAAATTACCATTATTTGTGTATGTATTTCTTAATATCTGTTTGCCATAGACAACACCTGAATGTAAATTCCATGAGAACAGAAACCCTATTTTATTAATCATAATGTACTCAGCAAATTGCCCAGTGCCTGGGTCTACTGATAATTTAATATTTGTAGAATGGATGAATGTATAAGGGTAATAGATTGGTAAATCTTTTACTGTGTGACCACTTCATTGTGATTGTCACTACAACTAACACCCAATTGGACAATTCATACTAAAATCTAGTTGTGAACAAGATACGATACTCTGCATGCCCTGTGATTTAAAGGAATGAATTTATTTTATATGCCAATATATATGTATCTAAACACATAGTAAATTTCTGAAAATCCTTTTAAGGAAATTCTATATTAATCCTTTTGTAAAATGAAAAATCACTCTTATAAATCTCAGTTTTCATGGATTAGGTTGACTAACTCAGCCCTTTAGGGTTTGATTATCCAAATTTTTCATTTCTTTTTTCATATTAATAGCACCTTGCTGTCACTACTTGAATCAGCCAATCAAGAGATAAACATAAATAGATATGCTTTTGCTACTCTCTTATAGGTCACATAAAATATTTTTTATTAAAACTTAAATAAAATGAAGGGTTGTTACTCTTTGTGAATTTGTTTTCTAGACTTTTCTGGATGCTCTAGGTGAATTATTCAGAATGGTCTAATTTTAATATTATTTCTGCTAGTTAATGCTATAGTTTTAATTTTTTTTTCTCTTCATTATAGGTATGTTCCATATAGTGATTATACTAGTTCCTTTGGATTCACCAATCTGTTGAGTTGTAAACGTGAAAGAAAAAGTTGTATGTGAATGTATGTCAAATCAGCATTTGTGTTTTGCATCATTAAATGAAAAAATAAAAATACTTCTGTATTCTTCAGATTATATATGTTGTGACTATATAGAAATGAATTCTAAAGTGCATTATTAGAAGTATTTTGATGTAGAGGCACCTGAGTGGCTCAGTGGGTTAAGTGTTTACCTTCAGCTCAGGTCATGATCCCAGGGTCCTGGGATCAAGCCCCACATCAGGCTCTCTGCTCAGCAGGGAGCCTGCTTACTCCTCTCTCTGCCTGCTTCTCTGCCTACTTGTGATCTCTGTCTGTCAAATAAACAAAAAATCTTTTAAAAAAATGTTTAAAAAATCACTGCTGAAGGATTGGTTCTTTATATCAACTCCCCCCCCATATCAACTTTTAATTTCTATTCCAAATAATCTTGAGTCTGTCAGAGTGTTAGAGCTACTTTTTTTTTTTTTTTTTTTTTTTTTTAATAGAGCTACTTTATTACTCAAAATACTAAAGAACCCAAATACTGTTTCCTTCTAGAGAAGCCATTCTGGTAAGTCAGAAAGGAAAGATGATTCCTTTATTTTTCCTACTAGAGTTTGTTCTGACTCCATTTCCTTGAATTTGAATAATCCTCATGTGGATGACTTTTGTACTCACCAGTTACTGTAGCAGTCTGTTGTTCCTTTTTGTAATATGACTTAGCAAACTCCTAGGAAAAGGGGAAAGAGGAGAGGAGATTAATAGACACAAAATAAAATAGATTTCATTTATCCTTCATCAAAAGCCTTTCTTGAGGGGGGGGCTTTCTTGTGCATCAAATTTATTTATGTGCCATTTCATTCACTTGTGATTTAAACACTTAGTGTACCACACATTTGAAAATTCATTATTTATGTCTCCATTCTGATGTTAAGTGGAAAGACTTACTGCATTATAATTGGTTTTGTGACTTGGGGGCTGTGGCCAGCACTTGCTTTGGGAGATTCATGGCCTAATATCTTTGGAAGTCACTTCTGAACATAAAATCAGAATTAACAGTATTTCAGAGTAATTATTTAATGCAAATCCAGTGAAAAGCCAGCTATAATAGTTACCATAAACTTTTGTTAGTTTGGAGCTCTAGCTGATAGAGCTGGAAAGGACCTGAGGGCTTGTACAGACCAATCTCATTAATTAAACAAATGCAAAAACCAGAGCTGAAGAGTGATTTGCCCAACAACACTGTGGTAGAAAACAGCAGCGCTAAGAGCAAGAGTCTTGATATTTCCAAGGATGACTACTGCCTACTCTTTGGAATCTGTGCATATGTTAGATTAAATGGCCAAGGGGAATTAAGATTACAGATGGAATTAAGTTTGCTAATCACTAAATTTGACACTTAAAGGGGGAGATTATCTTGGATTATTTGGTTGGGCCCAATAAAATCACAAGGGTCCTTATAAGTGGAAGGAAGAGGCAGAAGAGTGTGTCAGTGATGTGATGTGAAAAAGACCCAGCTGGCCATTGCTAACTTTGAAGGTGGAAGGGGCCAAGAGCCAAAGAGTGGAAAAGTTAAATTCTCACTTGGAGTCTCCAGAAAGGAACACAGTCCTGCTGACACCTTGATTTTAGCCCAGTGAGAACTGTGTTGGCTTTCTCACCCCCGCGCCCCCCCCAAAAGACCTGTAAGAGAATCAGTTTGTGTTTTGTGCTTATAAATAAATAAATAAATAAATAATTTGTGTTCTAAAACTTTGTTGTGGCAATGTAGGGAACTAATGTCTTCACACAGTAACAGAAAACGAGAAGTCAGGTATCAACTCCCAAATCAAGGCACATTCCACTAAAAGAAACATTTAAAAATACACCTCCCGGGGTTGCTGGGGGCGTGGTGGGGAGGGATGGGGTGGCTGGGTTATGGATATTGGGGAGGGTATGGGCTATGGTGAGTGCTGTGAAATGTGTAAGCCTGATGATTCACAGACTTGTACCCCTGGGGCAAATAGTACATTATATGTTAATAATAATAATAATAATAATAAAATACACCTCCCAAAAGGGAATTGAAAACTCGAAGACACTTGAGATTCCATAAACTGATAACCTCAGTAGGAAATAAATTATAAACAATATCAACTGTATGTCAGGCCTTGCAAACATAGCTACCCTGTGTGGACTTTCATCTTGACTAGGCCCGTGTGACTCTAGGGGGAGCCATTCCTGAGGATGGGGCTGTCTAAGAAAGCTTTTCTGTATTGATGGAAATGTTCTGTCTGCTGTCCACTCATCTCATGTGGATATTGAGCATCTGGACTGGGATTAATGTGACTGCATTTTGGATATTTCATTTTCATTAATTTGAATATCCACATGAAACTGGTGGCTGCTTTATTGGATAGCACAGATACAGATTATTCTTTGAGTAACCTAGAGTCATGTATATAGTGGCACTGGTGGAAATGCTTTCTAAGATAAATACTGAAACCTAATTCAAAATGTGTGAAGCTAAAAAAAAAAAAAAGTTACAAGGATACAGAGTAACAGACACGGAGAACAGGAATGCACCTGGGCCCAGTAATAAGGGGTCTGGAACTCAAATGTTATCAAGACTCTTGCTCTTAGCGCTGCTGTCTGTTTTCTTTACACAATTTTCTTTTCCAGCACAATCAACATTGTAAGAGGCCATAGTCAATAGTTCCTAGATTTACATCTAAGTTGAAGAGTGCAGTTGGACCACACACTCATTCTAATTCTAAATTCCCAAGAGGAACTGTGGTCAGATTATGGTTTCTTTAGTAATGTGAGAGAGTTTACATAAAAAAGAAGATGCAGACAAATCCTTTGTCAAATACAATCAAGATTTTTATCAGATCAAAATCAGGGATACCTGGGAGATCAGTGGTTAAGTGTCCGCCTTCAGGACCGGTAGTGATCCTGGGGCCCTGCTCAGCCTGGAATCACTTCTCCCTCTGCCCCTCCCCTCCCCCTGCTCATGCTCTCTCTTTCACTTTCTCTCTCTTTCAAGTAAAATCTTTTTAAAAAATAAGGTAGACCTGGAGTGCCTGGGTGGCTCAGTGGGTTAAAGTCTTTGCCTTCGGCTCAGGTCCTGATCCCAGGGTGCTGGGATCAAGCCCGCATAAGGCTCTCTGCTCAGCGAGAAGCCTGCTTCCTCCTCTGACTCTGCCTGCCTCTCTGCCTACTTGTGATCTCTATCTGTCAAATAAATAAATAAAAGCTTTAAAAAAAATAAGGTGGCCTTTTTTTTCAGATCTAGTAACTATGAGGTAGTCATTTAGTTATTCATTCATTCATTCATTCATTCATTCATTTTTAAGTAAGCTCTACACCTCGTGTGGGGCTCAAACTCACAAACCTGAGATTAAGAGTTGCTTGCTCTTCTGACTGAGTCCACTAGGTGCCCCTAAATTACTGTTTCCATGGAAAAAACAGGCTATATAAATCCAGTTGCAAGTATAGGAAGTAATAGGTTTGTGTTCCCACAAAAGATATGTTGTAGTCCTAACCCTCAGTATCTCAGAATGTGATCTTATTTGGAAATAAGGTAGTTGCAGATGTAATTAGTTGAGATGAGCTCATATAGGCCTAGAGTGGATCCTTAATCCAATATGACTGGTATATCAATGAGAAGAGACACAGACACACAGGGAGATGACTGCCAGGTAGTGATAGAGGCAGAGACGGATTGGAGGGATACATCCACAAGCCAAGGATTACCGACAAGCTCAGAAGCTAGATAAGGCAAGGAAGGATTCTACCCTACAAGTTTCAGAGCAGGTGTGGCCCTGCTGACACCTTGATTTCAGACTTTGAGTGCCGCAAACTGTGAGAATCTATTTCTGTTGTCCTAAACTGTCCAAATTTGTGCAGATTATACTCTGAGAATTTAGTGTTAAGAGAAACAAAGCTGCGGGGCACCTGGATGGCTCAGTTGTTTAAGCATCTCACCCTTGATTTCAGCTCAGGTCAGAATCCCAGGGTCCTGGGACCTGCTCAGCGGGGAGTGTGCTTCTCCCTCTCCCTCTGCTCCTCCCCCCACTTGTGTTTTTTTCTCTCTCTCTCAAATAAATAAAATCTTAAAAAAGAAAGAAAAAAGAAAAGCTTTTTCTAACTTTTGGTGGAGCGCAGGAAATCAGTCTTTGAAAATTGCTTTTAATTTATAGACTTAAGCCTTCAGTAAGCATGATGAATATTGCCAGTAGAGGACACTTACAATATGTTTTCAAGACTGATATCTTCTTTGTCAGCGATCACAATTAGGTGGAGTCCATCTTAGATAAGCCAAATTATCCCTGACCCTTGATTCTTGTTTTCCCAACCAGACCAAGAAAAATGTCAAGGACGTGCTGAAGGGCAGTATTAGAAACAATATGACCAACAGCTGGGAAATCATTGTCTGAGCTTCTCAGTCTTCTACAGCAAATACCTATGTTAAAATTTTCTTGTTTGGGAGAAACAGCTTGCCACAGAGTGAATTTGACAACCCATGGGTATGTCCTCGCATGTCCTCATGGGAAGCATTTCATCAAGATGTGAAGAGTTGGTCATCGAAATGGAAAACCACATATTCTACAGGAGCTGTAGAGTGGGTAGAAAATTCCCTTTGATCCAAGAGGCGTTGAGTTTGGGGCGCCTGGCTGGCTCAGTCGTTGGAGCATGAGGCTTTTAATTTCAGGGTTGTGAGTTTGAGCCCCACGATGGGCTCAGAGCTTACTTGAAAAAAAAGAGAAAAGAAATGAGGGGCATGGAGCTTTTAATTAAGATGAGTAGGACCTGGAGAGTGGCGCTTTTTAACTTACATTTCTTGCCTCTCCCCGCTGGCATGGCCACATCCAACCTAGAGGACATGATAGGCTCCCCCCTAGACCTTACCATATGATAAGAGAGTGGAATGTGATGGATCTTGTCGTGTGTGCATTGAAAGGCAGCAGAATATGGTAAAAGGAGCCTTGAGCTCCAGCTTGGGCCAGAAGTCAGAATCTTGGGGATCTAGGGGATCTAGGGGATCTTGGGGATCTAGGGGATCTCTCTTCACATTTCATACTAATGTGCTTTAGATCTCACACCAGCCCTATAAATAAAGGAATTGTCCACATTTTACTCAGACCAGTAAAATAGATCAGGTATCTGGCTTCCAAACTCATATCTTAACTATTGTGCTATACTACCTCAGTTTTTCTCATATGTGATAGAGGGATAATCAGCATTATCCAATATCCTTTGGGATTGTTAAGAGGATAAAGTACGAAAATAGATGAGACAATACTTTAGGAAAAGCTTTTGAAGGCCTGTATATGTGTGTTATTCTTGCCTCCTGTAAACCAATCAGTTGCATTATTAAAACTAGTTTGGTTATAACCCAAAGGCATTAGATTACATTTATTATTAATATCTGATCAGAGATTTCTTTGTGATCACTTGGTAACTACCTCTGAGAAAAGATGTTGGTTCCATGTCTCACTATAATATCTGTGTGATAGCAGAAATTTTTTCTTGTTCGTTGGAGAATGCCTTGGAACAGTGCCTAACATAATAGATACTCGATAAATATTTGTGAAATAAATAATAAACTAATCTCCAACATCCAGCATGGTCCCTAGCATCTTGTAAGCATTTTGACAGATACTTAGAGTTTAACTGACTGAGATTGAGTGGTTACTATGCAGCCTAGAGGTGATCTGGAAGACCTCAGACTATACTCAAAAAGAGCATACAACTGAATTCTGAAAAGGAGCCTAGAACAGTGTCCCAAGAGCCACCCTCATTTACAAATATTTACTCGGAAAGAATCCTTCTTAGGGGAGCTTCTAACACATTAAATAACAGTATAATACATGCATTAATTCATTTAAATGCATTTACTGCCTTTGACTATTCCCTCCCTGACAGCCAAGTAAAAATTCATCCCCAAGTACACCAGGGAACGAATGAGCCATAGTGGAAGGCAGATTTGGATTATTTGTCCATTGGTCCTAGCTGCTAGCAGTCCGTTAAACATCCTACACCCCAGGGAGATAGCTAATCTCTAGTTGCCAGCGGATATATACTCAATGTTGGTGAAGGTAGTAAGTGCACTAACCTGCATTTTGCTACTTTCAGGAAAGTGCTTGGAAATCAAAATTTGATCACTCATTAACTACGGATTACCTAATTGCTTTTATTCAAGTGTTTAATCACTAAGGATAGCTAGCTACTCTGAATATTAAAAAAAAAAAAAACTAGCTCTCTCTCTTTTTTTTTTTAGGTTTTATTTACTTATTTGACAGAAAGAGCACAGAGGGAGAGTGAGTGGGAGAAGCAGACTCCGCACCGAGCAGAAGGCTTCATTCATGGCTTGACCCCAGGACCCTGAGACCATGACCTGAGCCAAAGGCAGACATTTATCTGACTGAGCCACCCAGGCACCCCTCAAAAAACCAGTTCTGAACATTGACTTTGTATTCTTCAAGTGAGAGTATGTGAAATATTAACATACATTTTTTTGGGCAAGAAGCAGAACATCTGGGACACCAGGGTGGCTCAGTCAGTTGAGTGGCTGCCTTCAGCTGGGGTCATGATCCTAGGGTCTTGCTCCGCGAGGAGCCTGCTTCACCTTCTGCCTCTGCCTGGTACTCTACCTGCCCGTGCTCTCTCTCTCTGACAAATAAATAAATAAATCTTAAAAAAAAAAAAAAAAGAAGAAGTAGGACCTCTGAGCAGTGTCTATTCACATAGCAAATGTGCAAATGTGCCTGTAACATGCCAAGAGAACTTGAAACTAGAACTATGATCATGTCCTTTATTTTTTAATTCATGACCATCTGGTTCCTGGACATTCCTCTCTACCACCAAACCATTTGCTAAAGGTAATAATTACCATCTTCCTCAGAGGGTTGAAAGGAGAATTAAAAGAGATAATGTATGTGCAAGTGCTTTATAAACTATCATGTGCCAAACACATATGAGGGATTATTATAGGAGGAAACGTGCCTTCTAAAATTAATCATTTAGACAATGTGATAAGCATAAACCAATAATTTATGCTATTGGTTTCCATATTCGAATCATGACAAATTCCTGTAGCCACCATGAAGCAAGAAATTGAAATCTGGGGGAAGAAACTAATAATTCAGCACGTTTAGTTCATGTGGGAATACTAATTTCACAACCCATACAGGAATGTACAGTATTTAGTAGGAGTTTATATTTTAAGTTTTTGTAACAGTGAATTGCCTAGAGAGTCAACTATTCCTGGGGATTTTCTTACGATTCTGAACATCACCCAGCGCGCTAACGGAAGGCTGACGCTACTCCTCTCTTCATTCCACCTCCCGGAAACTTCCACTACCTTTTCCATTCCTAGGAAGGCTAACGGGGAGTGTGACTTAAAATGGGTTCAGACTACATCCGACATGATGAACCATATCTATCTTATTCACGATGCAAGTCCCTAAACCATCTCCAGCCTATTCGCCGGAGTTCGGCAGGTGATGGTGACTTCTCGATTCCCGATCCCTTTTCTGAGAAGGCGCGTACAGCTAGTTTCTCGGACCCGGGAGAGAGCAACAGAGTCGGGAGAATAGGTTGGGGGAGGAAGAAGCGGGCGAACAACCGGTCCCCACCTCCCGGGGGCACACGGGCGGGGCTGGGCAGGGGTCCGCGCTCCTCCCCGGGGCGGAGCTCGCCCCGGCTCCCGGCGCCTCGCAGCCCGAGCGGGCAGCAGAGTCTGCAGCGCTGCGGGCAGCGGGAGCAATGTATCTCCGCAGGGCGGTCTCCAAGACGCTGGCGCTGCCCCTGAGGGCGCCTCCCGGCCCCGCGCCGCTCCAGAAGGACGGTGAGTACCGCGCCGGCCCCGGCGTCCAAGTCTGAAGAGGACGGGCGTCTCGCGCGCAGATTGGCCGGGGTCCCCGCGCCCGCCGGCACCCGGGAGGTGGGGGGGACAAACCCAGTCCGAGGGCAGAAGCCTGGGATTGGGGCTAGGGGAGAAATGGAGGAAAGTCGCGGGGAGGACGCCCCGAAGTTCTCCAAGCCTTGGATAGTAGGCAACCTTTTTAGAGCGGCTTCGGAATCCGGACTAGGCTTCGTGGGTTCGAATCTTGATTGGGCGAGGGATTTCACCTGTTTCCTTATTTCTAAAATGGGGACAATAATGGTTGTGAGTTTTAATGAGTTAATATGCCGTTAAAAGCGCTTAGAAAAATGGCTGGCTAACTCCCGCGTAGCTTACTCCTTTTATTATTATAGGGACCTGTGCGCTCTCCAACTTCACGAGGAAACAGAGGAACGGGTGGCACGATGGAGCCAGGCAGGGCGCGGGAGGGAGTGCGGGCCCACTAAATGTTGGCTAAATGCCCCTGAGTAAATAAACTTATGGCTTGTCCGGGGCTCCGCAGCCGGAACTCTAGGAACCTTCGAAGCACTTTCGCTGGGGCTGCGCAGAAACCGGGAGCTATCCACCTGTTCCGCCCAGCCGTCCCGGTATCTGTCACCTTTAGATTTGGCGATGCATGGGAAGAGGGATAGTATTCGGAAATTTCCTAAAGGGGGAAGTTGCAGTTCAAGCTGGAAGCTCTTTTTTTTTTTTTTTTTTTTAATTCTGTTTATTTACGGAGAGAGAGTGAGAGAGAGCATGAGAGGGGAGAAGATCAAAGGGAGAAGCAGACTCCCCGTGGAGCCTGGAGCCCGATGTGGGACTTGATCCTGCAACTGTGGGATCGTGACCTGAGCCGAAGGCAGTCGCTTAACCAACAGAGCCACCCAGGCGCCCAAGCTGGAAGCCTCTTAACTAAAACGTGAAAAATACAAAAGCGCCTACTATAGTGCCTGGAACACTGTAGGGGCTTAATAAGTGTGGGCATGCGTGTTTTCCCTCCCTGCTGCGGGCCGGCTTCGCGCTCCTGTGCAGTTCTGCCCCTGTGGCTCCTTCGCAGACCTCCTTCGTCTCCCCTGTCTTTGCCGTCCTGCTTAGCCCAGCGGCTCTTAGACAACCTCTTGGAAAGTTCTTAGTTCTCCCAGCACTTGGCCTCACTTTCTAAGGCTTGTGAGGTAGTTTAGCCCAGAGCGTGCATTGGAGCCGACAGAGAAAGAAACGCTGCCGCGGAAGATTCCATGGGCCAAGTTCCCCCCACCCCACCCCCCACTTTGATTAGGCCTGTGGTGGTGATGGCGGTGGGAGGGAAGGAAGGTCTGTCCAGATAGCTTTATTTTTCTCTTAAAAAGCCGGTAGGAAGCCATTGCCTCACCGATAACAGAATAAGGCATCTTCGTTTTCCTCGATTTTTATACTGAGTATGATAGAGCATTTTTTCACTGACGAAGTAGAACCCATTAATTTTAAACTTCGGAAGATAACGAGGCCGTTGTGATTGGGGGTGGGGAGGGGAGAAAGATGAGCCCCCTGACCGTGGCCTTTGGCGTTATCTTCCGCATGCACCATCGGCTTCAGGCACAAACACGCATAAACACACACACCTCTTTTGCAGCGACGCGTTTCAGATAATTTCTTCCCCAACTTGGGGTAAAAGAAAAGCAGGTTAGACATTTTAAATCGGTAGTTAGCAGTACTGGCTGTAGCAGCCCTGATCTTTCTCTCATTTTCATCTAATTACTTTTTTCGTAGCATTGATTTGTTTATGTATTTTAAGAACTATTATTGACCGGGAATCTGGCTTCAGTCATGGAGATTAATTGACCTTTTTGTTGGTACTTTCTGTTTTGATGAACTGAAGAGTAAAATTTTAGCTGTGCCTCACCAAACTGTGTTCTCAGGCTTTTGCTTTTTAAAAATGTAACTTTTTGATGAGTAAATAATTGGGGTTTGTAATAGATCATTGGAAGGAACGCAGACAGGCAAAAGAGAGGTCACCTGTAATCCTGCCACTCAGAGAATACCACCATTTACATTTTAGTATATATAATGTTCCAGAACTTTCTTCCTCTTGCATTTTATTCTTGTGCACATTGCTTCCACAAACTGAGATAGCCCTGTATAGATTATTTTGCTATAAATTTGCATTTACTATATTGTAAATATTTTCTCAGGTAAGCAAATATTTTCCTGCAAAACTTCTAATATCTATTTCACATTACATCGATATGCTCAAATTTAACTAATTAATCTTTATTAAATATTTATTTCCCATTTCATTGCTCTTTTATTTTTATTTAAGATTTTTTTTTTTAATTTATTTGACAGACAGAGATCACAAGTAGGCAGAGAGGCAGGCAGAGAGAGAGGGGGAAACAGGCTACCCGCTGAGCAGAGAGCCAGATGTGGGGCTCCATCCCAGGACCCTGGGATCATGACCTGAGCGGAAGGCAGAGGCTTTAACCCACTGAGCCACCCAGGCACCCCTCATTGCTCTTTTAATTGTCATAATTGTATTTAAGTCTTTACTTACATCTCTGATGATTTTCTTTATTGCTTCCTATTTAAAATAATCTTCTTGATATTTATGTCTGATTGACAACTACAGAAGCTATATATTCCCTGTTTAGTAACAGATGTACTTTTAAACCAACAAAAGCCCCACTACAGGTCAAAGCCACCCTCTTAAGATAACCTCTTTGGCTACATTGGTGCAGAAAAAGTATTTTTTCCAAGAGATGATTGTTTATATATAAACTAAAAACACATACAGGAAGTCTTTCCAGTATTGCTAATACAAAGATTTGTAATTAGGGCAACTGCGAATCAAAACTTCTCCCCAGGGGCGCCTGGGTGACTCAGTGGGTTAAGCCGCTGCCTTCGGCTCAGGTCATGATCTCAGGGTCCTGGGATCGAGTCCCGCATCGGGTTCTCTGCTCAGCAGGAAACCTGCTTTCCTCTCTCTCTCTCTCTCTCTGCCTGCCTCTCCATCTACTTGTGATCTCTCTCTGTCAAATAAATAAATAAATAAAATCTTTAAAAAAAAAAAAACAAAAAACAACTTCTCCCCAGTCCTCATGCACACCCTGTGTGTCAGGCCACATCCGATTACTTTGCACTTTTTTAGCTCTCCTGACCTTGCATGTGTTGTGCCTTTTGCTTCTGGTGCAATTTTCTCTCCCTTATTCATCTGACAGTCTCCTCTACTTTCCTTCAAAACCCAGGTGATGTCTCTTTAATTATGACAGGTCCCTTAAGGTTTTTCACTGAATTTTCATGCTGTTGTTGCAACTTCTGGTTGCTTCTGTTCCAGCATTTGTCGCACTGCATTTCAGTTATTTGTGCATTTCTTCCCTCCTTCAACTATGTGAGCTACATGAGGCTCAGGACCTTGTATGTCTTGTTCAAAGTTCTATCCTTAATGATTCTGATAAGACCAAACACATAGTAGGCGCTCAGCCCTTTTTTTGTTGATTGAATAAATTAATGTTTCTACTTTTTTTGTATCTTGAAAATAAAGAATTTGAGCTATATGAACTTTAAGCTTTTTCTATCTCTGAGTCTATTATTAAAAATTTCAATCCGAGGGCGTATGACATTTACAAGTTTTATGTATTTAGACGTAATAATACAGTACCCTATTTCTATTGGTTTGTACAGAATTGTACTTCTCCTTCATACATGACCATGTTGTAACATCTTGTCCTAAACAAGCTTATATCTGCTTATCTTTAAAGGCTTTTGTTAGAAAAATTAAGATTTCTGTCTACATAGGATATTTGTATTATAGATTTGTAGAAATGTGTTGGGCTTCAACCTGTTTTACTTAACATGTAAGTTTCAGTTCAGATATATTTAATTCAATTTTTGTAAAGATAATCTTTTCCACTGAAGCCTGTAGTGGAGTACATACAGCAAATGGATTTCTTTTGCATCTTGTTGGACTGTTAAAACTGTTCAGTGCTTTTGTCATTTCTCCTTACTCATGCCTGCACTCTTTCCAAGAAAAGCATGATGCTAAGCACGAAGGTGACAGGCTTCATAAGTACTTATCAAATGAGATTGGGAAAATGTCAAATGGAATTATTACCCTACCTTGTGATACTGTATTCCCTTAAGCTAAAAATCACTTGATGTTAATAGTTCACCGAAGGGGAAATTTTTTTAAAGGTATAATTATTTTAAATAGTTTTGCTTAAGTGGTAGAGCTAACTGTGTTTCAACTTGTTTTCCTAGCATCTCTTCGCTGGATGTCATCTAATAAATGGTTTGGATCATCTGGATCAAATATGATCTATTATCTGGTTGTAGGTGTCACGGTCAGTGCTGGTGGATATTATGTAAGTGTTTAAATAACCATGATGTTCAGGAATTCATATATTTCATGACCTATGTAAAACTCAAAACATTATCAAAGTCAGGACATGAGATTAATTAAATATACAAGATGGTGGGAAATCAACATTTCTTACACAATATACACTGCCAAGTACCGATGACTTCCAGTAAAAATGACATTATTAGGGGCACCTGAGTGGCTCAGTTGGTTAAATGACTGCCTTTGGCTCAGATCATGATCCTGGAGTCCTGGGTTTGAGACCTGCCGGCTCCCTGCTGGGCGGGGAGTATGTTTCTCCCTTTGACCCTCCTCCCTCTCATGCTCTCACTCTCTCTCTCTAAAATAAATAAAATCTTTTTTAAAATGATGTTATTATAAATAGTAATAGTCGACCTATGAGTGTTTATCATATGACAGACTCACGGCTCATTTAATAATTACAGCAATTCTATAAGGTAGGTACTATTATTAACATTTAAACAAGAACTGTTTTGAAAGATTAACTTAATAGACTATTTTTTTAAAGATTTTATTTATTTATTTGAGAGAGCAAAAGAACACCAGTAGTGGGGAGGGGATAAGGGAGAGGGAAAAACAGGCTCTCTGCCGAGCAGGGATCCTGATGTGGGGCTTCATCCCAGGACCCCAGGATCAGGACCTGAGCTTAGCTGACTGAGCCACCAGTGTCCAATAGACTATTTTTTTTTTAAGAGCATTTTAGAGCATTTATAGAAAAATCAGCAGAAAGTATAGAGTTCTCATATCTCCTCTCAATACTCCATCAACAACCTCACATTAGTGTGGTACATTTGTTACAACTGATGAGTCAATATCAATACATTTTAACTAAAGTCTATAGTGTACATTAGGATTCATGGGTTTGGACAAATGTATAACAATATATCCATTATAGTATCATATGGAATAGTTTCAGTGCCCTAAAAATTCCCTGTGTTCCATGTATTCACTCTTCCCTCCCCAAATCTTTGTACTGTCTCCATGGTTTTTATTAGTTTTATATATCTTTGTATACATTCATTATTTTAAAATGGTAATATTTATTAATATATTTTTAAAAATTCAAAATAGACATATGCAAAGTTAAAAGAATGTTTTACCCACTCCTTCCAGGTAATCACCGAAAAATGAAGCTTTTGATAGTATGATTTTGGAGCTAAAGTGATGAAATATTTGTTCATTAAATAAGTAATAATAAGTCTATTGAATCATTTCCCATTTTGTCATAAACTTTCTAAATCAAAATTTAATCTTCATTATGAACAAAAGGAAAATAAATATAAAATTTTCGGAAACCCTAAGAGTACACAAGGGTCACTACATTTTGGTTTGACCCTACAGAGATATGCATAAAGGGACTTTTAGGCATAACTAGGAGCAGTTTGTATGTAGATGGCCAAACCAAAATAACTTATCCTAATCTTCAGAATTTTGAGAGCCTCAAGAAACCAGAAATTTCAAATATGTCACTTATATTATCGTCCTCCACTGATCCACCAGCTTTCACTCATACCCAGATTCCTTTCCTTCTACCATCTACTGCTTAATGTTGAATTCACTGCCCAGAGCTACTATTGTTGGAAGTAGGCCATTGGAGAAACAGAGATTGAACTGGGCCATGTGATTTTAGGGGGAACTGAATAGATGGAATTTCATCTGGAACTCACTATGCCCATAATTATGCTTATTAGTACCAGACATGAATCTCTCCAGTCCAATCTGTCTTTGCAAGAGCAATCGTAAACAGGAAGGTTATAAAATGACTGTCCTTTGAGCCCTTTCTGGCCTTGTTCTCTCTCAATGGGAGTGGGAGTTGGACAAAGCATGAGCTCCAAGTCCCTTTCCACCTCTAAGAATGTGTGGTTTGACTCTCGAATGTAAGAAGCTTCAATTCCCAAGAATCTTAGGCTCTTTGTTAGGAGGAAATGCAGAATGTGAGACACTTGAAAACCTGCATTCAAGCCCCCCCCCCACTTCCCTTTGTCCTATACTAAAATAAGTTCTCTACTAGATTTATCTGAATGGAATCCAGAGATGGTCACCAGCCAGTCTTTCATTTTCACATAAAATCTTCTACAATAAGGGCCTCTTAGACTCTGAGGCAGGCCCAGGTCATATCAGTTTTTTGAAGATCTGAGATGTTTGTGAGATATTTTAAACACTTACATATAATGAGTGATATCATTTGGAAATAACTTTTGAAGTCTAGATTTGAGGCTGTGCAAAGGCCTCTTCTGATAGGCCTTTTTTCTACTCTGTGTATGACCACCTTTGATTTGGAAAACTAAATTCTCTCGGCTACACGTGAGTGTGAATCATTCCAATATCCTCATCTCTTCGATTCTGCCTGAACTAGCCTTTCTTCTCATCTTGTGTTTTAGTCCCTTGAACAAAAAAAAAAGCATGTTCCTTGGGCTGTAATTGCTGGGATGGCCATTTCAGGAACGTGAACCTCTGCCCAGGCTCAGCTTTCGTGTACTGAGTGTGGAGCATGTCGACTCAGCATAGTGGTTTAAGCTCTCAGGAGCTCCCACCCTGCCAGGAAAGTATCCCCTGCTCTCATCCAGATTGGTGACCATCATTCCTGCTGATCCTTTGAAACCCAGATAATTCAAGCCTGAATTCACCAAACTCTGCCGGATTTGTTAGGGCCACTTCGGTATCATTTCCACCCCTGAGGTTATAGATTTTCCATTTTCACAGTCTAATTCTAACATGCTCTAAAATGGTTTGTAATTTGCAAAGTATAATTTTTAATAAGATACGTGGGTTTTGGTTATTAAAAATTTAGAGAACACATATATAAAATGCAAATTTTAAAAATCCATAATCCTACTGCTAAGCTTTATTCCTGATTCTGTTTCTGAAATAACCGATGGTCAGGTCATAGTTCTGCTTTTAAGGAAAAACCCTAGCTTACTTAAGGAATCTTCATTAGGGTCTACAGATATGCTGTTTTGGAAGATTTTTTTCAAACTTTTGGTTACGAGATGGTTGAGTTTTACATGCGGTCATGAGAGCTAATACAGAGAGATCTCACAGAGTCTTCGCCTCATTTCTTCTGGTGATTAACATCTTTTATCGTGATAACCCAGTATCACAACCAGGAAGTGGACATGGATAAAATCCACTGTCCTTATTCATATTTCACCACTTTCACTTGCACTTTGTGTGTATGCGCAAGTGCGCGCACATGCACACACACATTTGTATTTCATTCCAGGCAGTCATGTCACGTGTAGATTCATGTATTCACTACTGTTGTCAGGACATAGGATCCCTTGTGTAGTCCTTTATAATTGCCCTCAGTCTTTTTTGTCCTCTCCTCCCTTCTTCTTAGCCCTGGCAACCACAAATCTGTTCTCTAGGTGTACAACTTTCCATTTCAAGAATGTTACATAAATGGAATCATGAGGTATACAGCCTTTTGAGACTGGCTTTTTTCACTCAGCATAATTACTTGGAGATTCATCCAAATTGTTATACCTGTATTGAGAGTTCATTCCTTTTTAATCCTGAGTAGCATTCCAAGTTATGGGTGTACCACAGTTTGCTTAACCGTTCACCTGTTGTAGGACCCCCCAGCCAGATTCCAGCTTTTGGCTATTACAAATAAAGCAACCATGAACATTTGTGTTCGGGTTTTTGTGTGCACATAATTTGCCATTTCTCTGGGATAAATGCCAGGGGATATCTCTAAATGCTTGTCAGAGTATTTTGGTTCTAGCATGATTTGTTTTTCCTTCTTTGTCTTCATCTTTGTATCTGCCGGTGTGTTTTTCTGTTATCTTTGACTCCTGTTAGAGCATTTGTTTCTTTCCTTTGTAAAGTGTTCCACTTAGTAGCAAAAATTTCCAAAGGAGAAGCAAAAGCATGCTGGTGTACATTGGTTTCTCTTCTTTGAATTATATAAAACTTTGAAATTGGCATGTTGAATTTTAGAGCTCAAGAAAGAAACTTAAGCACACATTTACTTTCAGACTTACAGGACGATCACATCAGAGCAAGCCAAACACATGGAACGTGTAACAAATTTGAAAGAAAAAAACAAAGCAGAGTTACATCCACTTCAAGGTAAAGTGGATTTATTATTTTTTTCCCTTGAGACACTGATTTCCATGATCTTAGTCTAGCTATGAACACTATTTGCTTTCGGCTTCTTTACTAACTTGACAGAATGGCTTTGGGCAGAAGTTCATTCAGAAAGGGAAAGCCAACCAAAACCTAAAGAATATTGTTATATGTTTTGGATGAGTGCATTAGATAAATGAAACTTTTTACATTTGTACTGCTGACCAGTGACTTTGGATCTTTGTTTGATAATATTACTTTTCCCCTACTCGGGCTTCCATTCAGGTGGGCATAATTTTAGTATCTGTCTCTCTCAGCAGCTCATTTCCCTCATTATTTTTTTTTTAAATCATTAAACTAATTTTTGTTTCGGTTTTGGCTAAAATTGCCCGTGTGTCTTTGCCCAAAGTTCACTTGACATTAGTACAATCAATCATGTCTATTAAGTCCCTGAGTTGATCTGATGATAAAATGGCAACTACTAGAACACAAACTTTACATTTTCACCTTAATGTATATTTTTTGCCTTAAACTGCTTGCTTTGAATACTTTTTTCATCTCAATTATAATGCCATTATTATCGATTACTATGATCACTATTTAGGGACAGATACTACCTACTTATGAACCAATCTTAACCTTTTAGTCATGACAATATTAAGAAATGGAATATTATCAATAAATATTAGTGAATAGAATCACGAGAGAGCTGATTGTAATAATAATAAAACTCAGCATTTCCATAACACTATTTATTTATTTATTTATTTATTTGTGGGGGGGTGGTCAGAGGGAGAGAGAGAATCCCAAACAGACTCCCCGATAAGCCTGGAGCCCACTGAGGGGCTTAATCTCACAACCCTGAGATCATGACCTGAGCCAAAACCAAGAATTGGGTGCTTAACCTACTGAGCCACCCAGGTGCCTGGCACTTTTGGGGTTTTTTTTTGTTTTTTTTTTTTTAAGATTTTATTTATTTAGGGCGCCTGGGTGGCTCAGTGGGTTAAAGCTTCTGCCTTTGGCTCAGGTCACGATCTTAGAGTCCTGGGATCGAGCCCCACATCGGGCTCTCTGCTCAGCAGGGAGCCTGCTTCCTCCTCTCTCTCTGCCAGCCTCTCTGCCTACTTGTAATCTCTGTCAAATAAATAAATAAAATCTTTTAAAAAAATTATTTATTTATTTATTTGAGAGAGTTAGAGAGCACTGAACAGGGAGCCCAAAGTGGGGCTCGATCCCAGGACTCTGGGATCATGACCTGAGCCAAAGGCGGACACCTAACCAACTGAACAACCCAGACCCCGCTGCACTTTTGGTTTTAAACCCCTTGTCATACCATAATTTTAGTCAGTCCTCACAATAGCTCTTTGAGGCAGATATTATCGATTTCCCCATTTTACAGATGATAAAACTGAGGTTGAAAGAGGATAGTGATTGCTCAGTCATCAACTAGTAAGATGGCTGTTTTTCCATGCTACTTCACATGAAAGGTTGGCTGTTTATTTTCATGTTCCTTGTATTTAAATAAATAATTTTTGTAAATTTTTAAAAGTTTAGCAGGTTCAAAAGGGTTATGAAAAAGTAGATGCCCATTTTCCCTCCCCAGAGCGAATCAATAATACCAGCTTCTTTGTATCCTCCTAGAGAGTCTATGCTAAGAAAAACTATCTGGGTATACCTTACCTCCTTTTGTCCTAGCACAAATAGTACCATTCGGTATACATTGCTCTTTTTCTTGCTTTTTTCATTTAACAGCCTACCTTGAAGAGCATTTCATATCAGTACAGATAGCTTTGTCTCATTTTTAAAAAATGACTGTGCGGCCGGGGGGCGGCGGGGCGCCTGGGTGACTATGGGTAAAGGCCTCTGCCTTCGGCTGGGGTCATGATCTCAGGGTTTTGGAATCGAGCCCCGACTGCCTCTGCCTACTTGTGATCTCTCTCTCTCTCTCTCTCTGTCAAATAAATAAAAAAAATTTTTTTTTAAAAATGACTTCGCGGACCTCCGCTGTGTTCCCATGCTCTTTAAATTAACCCTTTGGTTAATGGACTAAATCTTAAAGGTGAAAAAGAGAACGTGGCGGGAGCGGAGAAAGCAAGTTCAGACGTTTGTGAAGTGTCTGCCCTGGAAGTCCTGGAGGTAGATGCGGAAGATAGTCCAGATGTTACAGCTGCAGCGGTAGAAGAGGCTTCAGCCTGTCCCGGGGATGTGGAGGACACTGCCGGGGAGCCCGACGCGGTCAGTGCTAAAGTGGGGGCAGAGGCGACAGAGGCCGCGCTGGGCACCACCGCAGAAGCCAGCGCCGAAGCGCCCCCAGAGGTTCAGAGTGCCCCTCTGGATGGAGCTGTTGCGGGAAATGATGATAAAGGGACAGCAGACAAGGAAAGCGCTGGTGGAAATGCTGAACGAGAAGAAGAGAGTCCTCCCGTTGAATCAGAATCCTCTGCTGGGGATGATTTACAGGAGCAAGCCAGCATTGGTTCCGACGCCCACGCCCCGGCTCAAGGCTAATCTCTTGCTGACCGACCCTTTAGCCAAAAAAAATGCCATCGTGTCTGATAGGTGCTTTTGTAGTTTCAGTCATCATAGTTTTAGGACAGGCTTCTTTGCTAGAAAACTTGAAGATTTCTGGTATCTACTGATAGACTTGGGGATTGAGAGACTTTGAGATTTTATGGGTGTGAATAGTTTCCTGCTCTCTGAGATCAGAATATGACATTTCAGTAAAGAGCTCACAGAGTTCCATCTTTGTATTTCAGTTTTATATCATAGGAATTGAGCTTTCTGTACAATCTGCATTCACTTTAATTTTGCTATACCTGTACCTTAATGTATGTTAATCTAGATTCTTGAGTTTTGATTTGAACTCATTTAAATAAAGTTGGAAAGTCATTAGTGCTTCTGTTTTTATTCACTAATTCTAATGTATAATCTATAGTCTATAGTATTAAAGATCATGTATAATATAAAATATAGGTTATAATATTTATTGTAGATTAACATACACACAGCATTGCATGAACAATGAAAAAAAAAAAAACATTTTGGAGCACCTGGGTGGCTCAGTGGGTTGAGCCTCTGCCTTTGTCTCAGGTCATGATCTCAGGGTCCTGGGATCCAGCCCTGCATGGGGCTTTCTGCTCAGCGGGGAGCCTGCTTCCCCTTCTCCCTCTGCCTGCCTCTCTGCCTACTTGTGATCTCTCTCTCTCTCTCTCTCTGTGTCAAATAAATAAATAAATAATTTTAAAAAAAGATTTATTTGACACAGAGAGAGAGAGGGCGGGGCAGGGGGAGGGGAAGGGCAGAGGGAGAGAGAGAATCTCAAGCAGACTTCCCACTGAGCACAAAGCCCTACCTGGGGCCGGATCCCTCAACACCCAGATCACGACATGAGCTGAAACCAAGTGTCACATGCTTAACTGATTGAGGCACCCAGGTTCCCCTAGTTCTCATTACTTTTTACAGTTGCGTGGAGCTACATGTGTGGGTACTATGATTTACTCAACAGTCTCCTACTGATGGACATTTGAGTTGTTTCTCTTATTTGCAATCACAAATACTGCTGCATTGAATAAGCTTCTGCAAAATGTCTTTTTGCATTTTTCCAGTGTTTCACTAGGATAGATTTCTGAAAGAGAGATTGCTAGATCAAATACGTAAGTAATTTTGCTATCTATTGCAAAAGCCCTTGCATAGGAGTCATACTATTTTGTATTCCCAAAATAACAATGTATGTGAGTGTCTGTTTCCTGTCAGAGTGTATTGTCAAACATTTGGATTTTTTTTTTAAGATTTTATTTATTTATTTGACAGAGAGAGAGAGAGAGAGAGAGACCACAAGTAGAAAGAGAGGCAGGCGGGGGGGTGGGGAGCAGGCTCCCCGCTGAGCAGAGAGCCCGATGTGGGGCTCAATCCCAGGACCCTGAGATCATGACCGGAGCCGAAGGCAGAGGCTTTAACCCACTGAGCCACCCAGGCACTCCAAACATTTGGACTTTTGATAGATGTGATAGATGAAAACTTGTATCAGCATGATTTTAATTTGTGTTTTCTTTATTAAGAGTGAGGTTGAACCTTTTTTCATTTGGTTAAGGGCAATGTACATTTCTTTTTCTGCAAAGTTTCTGTTCATATCTCCAACGCATTTTTTTTTTTAATTTTGGGAGATAGAGTGGGGGTGCTGGCAGAGGGAGAGGGAGAGAGAGAATCATAAACAGACTCCATGCCCAGCACAGAGCCCACCTCAGGGCTCCATCTCACAACACTGAGATCATGACCCCAGCTGAAATCAGTCAGAGACTTAACCAATCAAGCCACCCAGGTGCCCCTTCAATGCATTTTTTATAGTGTTGTTAGTCCTTTACTTTTCTATTTTTAAGAAAGTTTTCTGTCTAGAGATAGCAAACTTTGATATAAATTGAAATTATTTTCCAAGTTTGTCATTCATCTTACTTTACTTATGGTGTTTTTGTGGTACAAGAGATTTTTTCTTTAATTTTTATATAATCGATCCTTTTCCATATTGTTTGTGAATTTTGAGCCATTGTTAGTGTGGTAGACTGGGAAAAAACAGTCACATAGTCTTTCCACATACACTCCAATGAAGTAGGCCTTTATATCCCTTTCCATCAAGGGGTGGAGACTATTTTTCCATCTTTTTTAATTTGAACTTGCCTTGTACCTTGCTTGGATGGAATGCTGTGGAAGTGATTTTGTGAGACTTCTCATTTGCTTGGAACCTTGAGACTACTGTACGGTCTCCATGAGAATAAGAGACCTTATGGAGAGAGGGGCCCCATCCCTAGCTAGCGCTAACCCCAGATACGTGAGTGAGGCCATCCTAGATCCTCCAGTTTCAGCCACCATGCCAGACGACTGCAACTGAGAAATCCCAAGCAAGAATGAGTAAGAACCGGCCAGCTGAACACCCAGACCAAATTGCTGATCCATAAAATTGTGAGCAAATCAGAGGGTTGTGTACTAAGCCCTGCAGTTGGGGCACTGTAAGCAGCAATACGTAGTTAAGATAGTTAGGAAATAAAGCTTAACTTTGAATTTGATGCAGACTAGCTTTTGTGTTGTTGCCTGTCACATTCTTCAACAGGGATGATGAAAAGAATGGGCTGTACCCCACAGATCCAGAATTTGTCCAGCTTTACCTTCTGGCCAATTGTTGCCTTTTCTGAAAAAAATTTTAGAACTACTCAATGCCAAATGTGACTATATACAGAAAGGTTTTTTTTCCTTTTAAAGTCCAGTATTTATTTAGAACAAACATCCTTTTGAAACAGCAGCTCTCAAGTCCAAAAGCAAACTATATTTTATTAGCCTTTTTTAAACTTTAACAACCAATGTGATGAAAATTTAACAACAGTATTTCACAAACAGTATTTTTCTTATTAGATCATTGGCTGATTTTGATAAAATTAAAAATATACCTTAACAAAGTCAAAGTGGTATAGAGTGTGGGGCTTGGAATATGAAACCAATTACAAAAGATTAACAATGGCAGTAGAATCAGATAACCAAGTTCTCTTTGATGAAGACAGGGATATAAAAGAGGACTAAATTTATAAAAAACACAACATATGTTTTAACCAACGACATGCCCCTGAAATTTAAACACTACTTTCACTATTGAAAGAAATGTATGGAGCAGTCTTGAATAATATGAAATAACTACTCTATTTTTTTTAATGTGATTTTTCTAATGCAGTGTATTCCACAGCCAGCTTCTGAGTCAAAGCTGAATTCAGGGAAGATTAGTTTTTGAATGTGTTAGTAATTTCTGTGCCAAGTATTTGTCCTGTCAGATAACATCTGTTGACCAGAAGCAATACTGTCCATTATAATAAAGCACATTTATATAATGTTTTTCCTCAGTTGAAGTTCTCTCTAAAGAAATTTCTAGAAAAAGATTTTATTTTGGGGTGAGTTTTCATGAACAAATGGGAGGAATTTGGCCAGTTAAGTATTATTATTCAAATTTTTCATATGGATGTATAATTTTAAGTAATCACTGCCCAAATTAATAATTAAACTAATGTAAAATTTACCTTTTATTTTCTGAGATTATTTCTTATGGATGGTGGTTTCTGGGGTGGAGGAAGAAAATGAAGAGAAATTAGCTTTTTCCTTTATCAGGTGACATGAAGATGAGAACATTGTAGGCATTATTACTCCCATTTAAGAATGAAAATCCTTTCTCACATCAGAAATCCTTTCCCTCAGAACTAGGAAAAGAACGTTTTTTTGGAGAGGAAGATTTGTAGACTGTAGTTTTATCTATTATGTCTCAAGCAGAAGCCACATAGAGTGACCAACTAAACTGATTTTTAAAATATTTTTTTTTTTTTATTTATTTATCTGGGAGAGAGAGAGCATGAGCAGGGGGAGGTGCAGAGGGAGAGGGAGAAGCCCACTCCACCCTGAGCACGGAGAAGAGCCCTACATGGAGTTTGATTCCACGGCCTTGAGATCATGACCTGCCCCAAAGTCAGATGCTTAATTGACTGAGCCACGCAGTCACCTCTAAACTGATTTTTAAAATGAATTTTTCCAGGGACGCCTCAGTGGCTCAGTCAGTTGCGTGCCTGACTCTTGGTTTCTGCTCAGATCATGAAAGTCATGATCTCAGGGTCGTAAGATCAACCCCCCAGTGGGGCTCCATGCTGCTTAAGATTCTCGAACCCACTCTCTCTCTCTCTGCCCCCACCCACCCACCCCTCCTTGTGCATGGTGCTCTGTCTAAAGAAAAGAAAAGAAAAGAAAATTAATCTTTCAGTTAGATGATAATTAATTGAATTAATCATTCAGTGATTTTATTCTATTATTAAGATATTTAGAGGGGGCGCCTGGGTGGCTCAGTCTGTTAAGCGTCTGCCTTTGGCTCAGGTCATGATCCCAGGGTGCTGGAATCGAGTCCCATATTGGGCTCCCTGCTCTCCCTCCCTCTGCGGCTCCCCCTGCTGTGCTCTCTCTCTCTCTCTCAGTCAAATAAATAAATAAAATCTTAAAAAAAAAATAAAAAAGATACTTAGGCAGATTTTACAAAGGCTTAACCCATTATTTTGCTCAAATTAAAACATTCAATAAGGAAAATGTAACATTTTTTAAAAGATTTTATTTATTTATTTGACAGACAGAGATCACAAGTAGGCAGAGAGACAGGCAGAGGGGGGCGGGGGCGGGAAGCAGGCTCCCTGCTGAGGAGAGAGCCAGATGTGGTGCTCAATCCCAGGACCCTGGGATCATGACCTGAGCTGAAGGCAGAGGCTTAACCCACTGAGCCACCCAGATACCCCAGGAAAATGTAACATTTTTAAAAAGAACTCAAATGGTAGAAAATATTCTGAAACCAAGCTCTTTTGAATTCACCGCCATCACACCTTTCACTCCTCGAAGTCCTTTCCATCACCATACAGTCTCCAAACTGTCACCTTAGCTCAGTTCCTCATATCTGTAGCCCCTCAGTGAGTCTCCCTATCATTCCATTTACAGAGTTTTCCTTC